ACAAAGCAGCAGCAGAGTTTGGGTTCTTCCCAAAAATCCTGACAAGGCTCTTTGTTGGGGTTTAAGACTGGATACTTCTCTTCGCAAATAAGATGCATGGTATTCAGAACATGATTGGTGTATTTTTACTATGCTTTTCAGGTTCAGAGGTCTAGGGTTGTTAAGAGTTAATCATCTTTGCATATTTATAGTCAGGAATTGACTGATATGCAGGATGTATTCTCATTCACTGGACCAAGTTTGGCACAAATACCCAATATGCCCAAATTTGAATACTGGTGTGGTTTGGGGGGGGGGGGTTGAGTTTATCATTTGGGAGTTGCAATTGCTGGGATTTATAGCATTCTGAACTTCACCATCGATGGAATTGAACCAAACTTGGCACACAGGACTCCCATGACCAACAGAAAATACTGGAAGGGTTTGGTGAGCATTGACCTTGAGTTTTGGAGTTGTGGTTCACCTACATTCAGAGAGCACTGTGGACTCAAGCAATGATGGATCTGGACCAAATGTGACCCGGATACTCAATATGCCCAAACATGAAAACTGGTGGAGTTTGGAGGAAAACAGACTTGACATTCTGGAGTTGTAGTTGCTGAGATCTACAGTTCACTTACAGCCAAAGAGCATTCTGAAGCCCACCAATGATAGAATTGGGCCAAGCTTCCCAACAGAAAATACTGTGTTTTCTCATGGTCTTTGATGACCCCTCTGACACCCCTCCTGACCCCCCCCCGGGTCCCGACCCCCAGGTTGAGAAACACTGTTCTATGGGTTTCCTATCCCTGATGTAAACGCTAGCAATTTACCATTAAAAGCTTTGTTGATGTAGCAGTAGATACATTTACTAACTGGTGACAACATGGTAAGCCAACGAAAGCTTTTTTTAAAAAAAATCTCCTTATGCAGTCAGTTTTTAGGGTTTGTTTTGCAAGTACTCCAAAAATAGCCTTTCAATTCCAAAAAAAAGGTGACACGGGTAGTTAATACATGGCTTTCTGATTCTTAATATATCTCAAAAGGTGGCAGTAAGCCTCTTTTAGAAAACGAAAATGAAAAGGATTTTTCTGAAACATATCAAGCTTTATCTAATCCTGTCAATTGGGATTATTTAAATAATCTGTGAGCAAAGAGGAAAATAATCATGTACTGTTTATAACCACTTCTGTTGCTGACAAATTTCTGAAAGGTCGCTTGCATTTAACACCGAGGATATTTATAACAAAATTGGTACATTTACATAACCTTTGTGAGGACATCCATGATGTCATCAGTTAGAAAAGGAGGCCGATTCTAAGAGGACACTGGCAGGAAACTGCTAATTCATCTTTGCAAAGAAATTGGCATAGCGGGCAATAGAAATGGACAGTTCGGTCTATTTCTAGTTTGGGATTTTTTTTGTCTGTGTTCTTTCCTAAGAATATTCTGTGCCATTTCTGCTTGCGTTTGCAGATTCTGATTTTTTAAAAATCTATAGTGAAAATTATACTTAAATGTATAACTTAGTGTTACACAGTATGATCTTAGAAGTTTTTAATAATAAAAAGTAATAGCAACTCCAAGCATCAAAAAAGCTGACTGCCATTGAGACTACCATTCCCTTCTTCGAAATAATATTAATATATTATATATTACATGATATATTACTATACACACACATACACTATATATATATATTAATATAATATGTATAATAATATATTATTATGAATATAGATTACCATCTGTCAGCTGCAAAAGGTCACCCTACTAGGATATGCATACATTATTCGCCAATACATCACTCACTCCTAGACACTTGGGAAGTGTCTGATGTGTGATCCAATACAACAGCTAGCATAATGATCTTGTTTGCTATGTACTAATCTTGTTGTGTTTCAAATAATAATAATAATAATATATAATAAGTGTTTTTAAGGTTTGATATGTTTTTAATGATTATTTTAATACATTTATTTATTTTTATTAATGTATGTTAACATGGCCTTGAATCGGTGTATATGTATGTATGTAAGCCACCTTGAGTTCCCTATGGGTTTAGAAAGGCGGGGTACAAATAGGGCAAATAAATAAATGAATGAATAATAAAACTTTATATACCCTGTACCATCTCCAGGAAGGGATTTGGGGTGGCTTTCAAAAGCACTTAGTAGTGCAACAAAATATACAAAATACAAAAAAGTACATGAATATATATAAACAATAACAATGTAAATTTACATAAACAAATGATACATAAAATATCATATAAAACCCCTACTGATTAAAAAAAATCAGTAAAATGCAGCAGTAGCTGCAGATGTAAAGTAGACTGTATTCCATATCAGTCACATAAAGTGCCAGAGTGAGACAATTCACTTGGTCCTCACTTTTTAAAATCTGAAATTCTAACCATGGTCTTAAAATGGTGGTCACGAGGGAATCATTTCTCTACTTCCTCCCATTACACTCTAAACACATGATTAGAAGCTTTTGCTTGTATTTTAGGACATAACTGTCTGTGAACAAAAAAACAACAAAAACATAATAATGTTTAAAGAGAGCCTTCAGATCTCCTTGTAACACTATAAGAATTGAAAAGATTGAAAAGCCGATTTTGGACTACAGCTTTCAGAGTCCCTCAGCCAGTACAACCCATAGGAACTGTAACTTTTTCCAATTGTGATTCAGAGAAGAACAACATTTCAAAGTAATTTGAATCTAGAGTAGAACTACATTCTTATTTGTACGTTAAAACAAGGACATGCAGATCAAATTGATTTTCTTCAAAATTCTTAAAACTATCCCAAGCAATCTGATTAGCCTGCAGGATCAATTAAAATAAAGACACTTTTTGTTGTGTTATTGATCTCTAGAACTCAGTATTGCCAATTTTAATAAGTAGTGGCTAACCCGATCTCAGGTAGAGTCTTCCTGCCTCTTCTAACTAGTTTCCAAAACTAAATTTGCAACCTAATGCTCACAGAGTATGTGCTCTTCTACAGCCTGGTAAGTGACTTGTTCAGCCTCCATATCTTGTACTGTTGCCACCTTTGATTTTAATCAGGAAGGGAACATTTTAGTTAGAGCAAGTAAATTATATCGTTTTTAATAATTCTGCAAACCAATCAGTTGAAGGGAACAAAACAAAAACCGAAATAATTTTGTGAGGAAATGTTTTAAGCATGTCTCTTTTCTCCCTTTCCTCCCTCCTTCTCCTCCTCGTCTTGCCTTTTACACTTATTGGGAATGGAGAGAGAGTTGGGGAGTACTCCTTTAATTGAAGTGTAAATGCTGGAGGAAAGGGGGGGGGCGGCGGCGTAAGAGTGTCGGATAAGATGGAATGTCAGATATGCGAAAGTCGGATAAGCAAGACTACTGTAATGTAAAAAAATCAGAGATGTTGGTAACAAGGACATTTATTAACATGTAATAACTGGTCAAAGGGCATGCACTTAATTAACTAAATTTTTAATCAGTTCCATTCCAAGGAATAACACAAGATAATTGCTCTTACAGTGGAAATTAATTTTAATATCTTGTTCAAATTTTTTTCCTGAGGCTTGCTCTTACGATTCTTTCCCACACAGATCATCTGCCTAATGAAATAGGTCTTTCTTCTTCAAGCAATGTTTTATATCACTAGGTTTGGATTAAAGAAAGAATTTTGTCCCTGAACAAATCTCTGTTTGTTACAAATGAGTAAGTTCAAATAAAGTATCTGTCTGTGGGGAATCTCATATGCTTTCCGGGCTAACAAATGCTTTGAATGAAATATTAATCATGACTGCTTAAAAATAGTGGCAAGTTCCATGATTTAACTTTGTCAAGATCAATGTAGCAATTTTTAGAGCCAAAAAATACAATTGCTACATTCAAATACCATGATAAACCGCAGTTTAACACACAGGAGCAAATATGGGCAAATCTTGATCTCTCAAACTCCTCATTCCCCAGTTCTCCTCCAACACAGATCTGAGAAGGGTCTTGAAAGTTTTTGTTTCCATATTTAAAAAATTAACTGTGGTTTGACTTGTTTGAATGTCTAAACAGCTTGCAGTTATTCTTAATTATATTTTTTTAAAATCATGAAGAGTTATTGTCCCAACACACCAGCAGTACTATGCTGAGTTAATGATTACTTATGGTTGTAAGCTCCTTTGAATTATCTAAATCAGTGGTTCTCAACCTGTGGGTTCCAAGATGTTTTGGCCTTCAACTCCCAGAAATGCTAACAGCTGGTAAACTGATAAACCACTTGAGATTCCTGGGAGTTGTGGGCCAAAACACCTGGGGACCCACAGACTGAGAACCACACGTCTAAATACTCTAAAGCAGTAGTTCTCAACCTGTGGTTCCCCAAATGTTTTGGCCTACAATTCCCAGAAATCCCAGCCAGTTTTCCGGCTGTTAGGGTTTCTGGGAGTTGAAGGCCAAAACATCTGGGGACCCACAGGGAGAGAACCACTTCTCTAAAGGCTGCCTCATTTTGGGAACTTAGATGAGTCAGCCCTGTTTACTTCTTGGATGGGAGACCACCAACAAAGATCAGGTGATACAGGCTATATTTCTGAGAAAGGAATGAGACAAAGTCACCTCAAAGTAAAAACCTATAAAATTTGTGAGGTTGCCATAAGTGAATAGGCACATGAACAAACTCGCACACTTTTTTCAACCATTGCTCGCTCACTCTAATTCCAGAGTGGTCATTCTGGCTGGGGGATTTAACAGAATCATAGAATAATAGAGTTGGAAGAGACCACATGGGCCATCTAGTCCAAATCCTTGTCATGCAGGAAAAGCACGATTTAGTAGACTGTGGTCCAAAAAAGTAACATTCTCAAGACCGATTGAGTGATTAATTTGAAAATGACTTCGTTTTGTGGTTGGTTATATGATTAGCATTCTTTAAAAACAAAACAGCACAAACATTCTGCATCTGGAACCATATATTTAACCAATGGCATCTTGGGTTTCCAAAGTGATACCAACATAATGTTATTTAAAAGCTTACAAACCTTTCCAGACAGCTTTGAAAAGTCATCCCCTCCTATGATTTGCGTATCTTGCATGGATTGATCATTCTGGAAAATAAAAATATGCAACATTGTATTTTCATATAGGAAATGGGAAAATCTGCCTTGATGTTTAGTAGAAGTATATCTTATTGTTTTTAATTTAAGTTTGGCAACTTTACATTTTTCTTTAAAAATGCAATGTTTGTCATTTCGTGAAGGAAAATAAGAGTATTCCTGATTTAATAATATATAGATTTCAATAACATTAAAACTATCTTAATTCATATTTAGCCATAATCTAAAACCCATCAATAAGGCATCTAGGGATTAACCTCAGCAGAACATAATTCCAAGGAATACATTTAAACTGTATTGAGATCAGTCTAAGTTCCTATCCCTTTTGAGCTTCAATACATGCAAATGCAGACTGATTTGCAAAATGTATGTTATTTCTCCTTTATGTAATGAATAGGACTTTCAAGTGTTTAACTTGAGTGGATAGTGACCACACTTTGAAGTTTATGAAGATCACCGATGATTAAAATTCCCACAACTTACATTAATATCATGGAACCCTACAGATTACAGGGTAATATCACTTAGAATCAAACTTTAATGAGATAGCCTTAATGGCCTCCCACTCAAAAGTTCAGCTGTTCCCAGAGAAGTTGGGCTATGACTTATATGACCTCCAGACAACCAAGTCAATGGTCATACTGGCTAGGGATGATATGAGATTGTCTGGAACCAGCTTTTGATGGACTTCTTCATATTGAGCAAAACAATTTACTAAATATTATGTAGTAAGTTTATCATTCATTTTTTTTCTAGTGAAGTCACCATGCCACAGAAAATTATGCCACTATATCTATTTTCTTTGAACATGCTTTTATTAGCACTTTTTTCAGGTACAGTAGAATTTGGGTGCAAAAGAAGTTCTGCACACCTTTCTGTGAAAACTTCATGTCGTTTGGAAAATTTGCTTCTTTTTTTTTTGCATTACAACCCTTGGAATCCCATAGCTGGGATAGCCTGTGGTCATACTGGTAACATTTCCAATCAACATCAAACAACAGTTGGTAAACAATGGATATGACAAAGAAAAATTGTCTGGGGTTCCCACTAGAGCAGAACCTACTGAATCAGTTCTTGAATGTTGAGTTAACATTTAAGTAAATTTAATTCATTCAGTGGTTCCCTTTTAGGTGGGACTAAGAATAGGATTTAGACCAGTTGTTCTCAACCTGTGAGTCCCCAGATGTTTTGACCTTTAGCTCCCAGAAATCCTAACAGCTGGCAAACTGGCTGGGATTTCTGAGAGTTGTAGGCCAAAACACCTGGGGACCCACAGACTGAGAACCACTGATTTAGACCACAAAATAATTTCCTTGAGCATGAGGAAAACAGAACATCTGCTAGAACTCACTGCATTATCCAAAACAAAACATAAATACAGTTTGAATTTCTCTTAGAAAAAAGTTATTGGGGAAAAAACACAAAAGTAAGAGTCTTCCTTATCTAGGCTTTTTAAAAAAAGGAATTCTCCACATGGGCATATTTATGAAAAGGGCTTTGTTTTTGTTTTTTTTAATGAAAAAACCCATTGAATGACTTTGTGGCACATTTCCTTTGCATTTTAGCTGTTGGCTTCAGGAGCAACTTTGTTCCTGGCAAAGAACTGGAAAAGTGAATCCAAGAGTCTTTTCAAAGCAGAGTTATACTAGCCAATAAGAAAAGTTAAGGATTGTATAGCTGTGAGCTGGCTGCTACTGGGGAAACTGCTATGTAATTCCCTTTTTATATGTTGTTTTATGTAAATTTGTTGGGTAAATTTACATTGTTATTGATTTATACCTTTTCTGTTGTATTTGTATACTGTTGCACTACTGAGTGGTTTTTGTGAGCTGACACGCGTCCCTTTGGGGAGATAGTGGTGGGATACAAATAAAGTTTATTATTATTATTATTATTATTATTATTATTATTATTATTATTATTTATTACTGTCAGTTGGCCAACTTTCAAGCATTTAGGTATAATGATGAAGGAGTGATGACGTTATTATGTCCCATTGAAGTGACAATGCGCCTCTGGGCTTTTACTGGCAAGCCATTCTAGTCTGGACGCGCA